TAGTAAATAGAAATTGTTGAGATTATGAAACTATTAATTAAATGTAATCCACAAGCATGTCTTATATTTCTTGCTCTTTTACGTATTTTCTCATTAAAAAATATTTTCCTTTCCCTTTATTTAATTTAATCTTTTTGCATATTTTACGAAAAATAAATTATTTATTTAGTTTATTTTTCGAAATTGATTTTTGAATCTACGAAAAAGCATTCTGCAATTCCGAGAACGACCTAAAACGCATTGTTTTCTTTCTTATCATGATTTTCGATCGTTGAAACACGTTCATCATTTCGAAGAATTCATTCTGAGGGTTTTTCTCTAGAAAACGTCAAAGAGTCTGAATGAGCTCAATGATATATAACAAGAAAATAAATAGATTCTAATCTCTTTGCCTACAAGTTAAAAATGTTCTGTAATCATTGCACCCTATTTGAAGCCATATAGTACACTTATGATAAAAAAAAATATTATGTTAAAAAATAGACATAATATTTTTTGCTTCAGAATATATTTTCTATTGGCGTTGCGACTTTTTGTAGTCTTCTAATCACAGACGGTTGTTGCAATTGATACATTAATATTCTCGGGAAAAAAAGAAAATATCAATTAATCGCGATTAATCACGATAAATCACTCTGATTTTCTGCGATTACGATTAATCGAGTTTCTTTGCCAAATCACGATAAAATCTGATTTTATCTCCGATTTTTCGACATATTTCGATTAATCGCGATTTTACGTGCATTTTTCGAGAAATCACCAAAATTGCGGTGATTTTCACGACATGGGCGATTCAATGATGATTTTTATAAATGCAATCAAACAACAAATTGATCAATGTATTCAATCACATATTTTAATCGATTCTGATCCATTACAACATGAAATATTGGAACATGCAATTCAATGTAAAACATATATTGCAAAATTTCATGGTCGATCTGATGTTCTTAATCGAGTAAGATGTTATTGTACTTTCTTTTTGTCAATCATTGCATTTATTTTTTTTGATTATATTGTGCGATATAGTTGAAAGAATATATTATGAATGAAGAAGAAAATCGTGCATGCATTGTATAAGGAGCATCCGGTTGTGGAAAAACCAGTGTATTGGTCAAGGCTGCAGTCGAAGTATATGGAGTGAATCAACTAGGAAAAGTCATATTCTTGTTTGTATATCGAATGTTATTGATATAGGTTTGATAGTAACATTTAAATTTGAGTAGTGTCGAATCCGAAAAGTTGATTTGACTTGTACATATCTTCCACTATTGGAACGAGTGTTCACAATTGAAAGCAATATTTAGATACGATTAAAAGAAGAGTGAAGATATTGG